TATATCAATTCATGTGAATATGACTGAAAAATTTAATTTTTTCTGAAAAGGTGGTGTCTATTTACTTGTGCCTTATATATTCTAACTACTTGCTCCTGCAACATTTCAAAAGTCAAAATAGTAAATGATACATTAGATAAAACAACAAAAATGATGATAGATAATATAATATACAGCTTATCATTTTACAAAGATTAAAATTTATTATGTTCAATATTGTTATGTGGACCATAAGGAATTCTTTTCTGACCTCATAATTGATTGGAATACAACTGTTTTATTGAATTCTTGCCTATAGAATCCAAAACTTTCAGTGCAATAAGTATATTGATTTATGAAATACTGTTACAACATTCTTAATTGGATATTTCAAGCCATAATTAAGTTATGGTGAAGTAGACAACTGAAATGTCACGCATAAAAGTGAAATCAATAACCGAACAGTACACACACATTCTATCAGTATCCATACAAATGTGAAATTATTGGTACAGGTGCCCAGTAAAATGTTGAACATGTTTGAAAAATTGGTTCTATGGTTAAATATTTCATTATTATCTATTTGGTCAGCCTTTGACATATTAGACATAGAATCATTTTTGCAATTCGTCAATGGTTGAGGGAGTAAAGACTAACTGAAAATTCAAAATTCAGAAAAAAAGCTACAATTGTCCTCTCAAATTTAATTTGCTATTTTGGCATGTAAATAAGTTGATAATGAATCATCACATAGAATTTAAAACAGATGATCAAAATTTTGAAATTTCTGGATAAAAACATTTTGATGAAGGAATATTGGTTTTCCAGAACTCTTGACTATGTCACCATTTTTCCAAGAACTTTCCAGGATCCAGATAAACTGGGCTTTTTTCAAGGAACAAAAATAGACCCCATTTGTATTACACAAGATTAAGTCTTTTTCTTTCCAAAAAATGTCAGATGGCATTCAAATGTTTAGTTTTTAAGTTCACCCTTAAAAATATTTATGTCAGGGCTTAATAAATGTTATTAACTCTTTCAGCACAGGGTTGTAACCATTTTGTGCTTGTTATAGTTTTTGTGCTATAACTTTTAAATTAGTAAGCATATTTTCATGAAATTTGGCAGATTATCAGTAAACATTACAAGGCATTCATACACAAATATAAGATTTTTTATTAAGTCTTAATATTTATTAAGCAATGTTTTTCTCATGCCTTTTTTCTTTTCACATGTTGCCTATCCAACATGCAAAGTAATTTCAATTTTAAGATTAAAAATATTTTTATGCATCAGAAAATTTTCAAATTTTACATGTGAAATCTTTATAACATCCAGACATTTATCAAATGTTTCTTAAGAAAAAAAACTATATATATATTTTATCTGTTATTTTCACTAACAAATCTCTGTACAGGTTCAGTCGATTTGACCAATCTCATAACCACCATAAAAAATTAGGAAATAAATATAAATTATGCCTTTTTTCATTCTATAATTACTACAAATTATAACACAAAACATAGAAATGAATATAAATAGATTATGGAATACGGATGTAAAAAAAGACAGCACATGATCAATGCTGATGTACGGTTTGAGACCATAAAGAATTGTTGGTGTATTATTATCGAAATATTATAATAGTAAATGGATCACAAAAAAATGTTTAGACTAAATAGCTTAAGTCTCATAACATTATACATTTATAATGACTAACAATACAAAAGTTACAATGATGCAGCACACATGCACTCATGTTACCGTATTCAATAATATAAAACTGACCTTTAGTCTTTACAAAGTGACCTGTCTTGGC